TTTTTTTTAATATCTATAATCGATTCCTTCCCATTCTTCTATTTATCCAATTTTTACCCCTGTACAGGCGTTTTTACTACTTTATGGGGGGGGAGGGGGGTTAATAGGGGTTGTAAACTTTTCCTGAGCGATCACAAGCTTAATACTACAGTCATGTACAAAGTCCTTTCTATATTCACCAATTTTTACCGTAATTTGCGCATTTCTATTTTTCATCCTATGTAGGATCGCTCATTTATGAGAGAACGGTTCACTTCACAAAAAACTGCTAAGGAACTTTTTTGTTCACAATTATCTCAGCTGCATTTTTTGTTTGAAACATTTTTTTCTACGGCTTACAGATTCTTGGGAAATCGATGTTTTCCGTTTTTTACCCCCTTTAGGGGGCAATTTCTGACGAAGCCCAGGGGTAGGAGTGGTAAACTTTTTTGCATCTTTTTTGAAGACTACTAGTGGACATTCATACCAAATTTCAGCCAGGTCGGATCATTTTAGAGGTTCAGTGGTAGTTTTGCCTCTGACGACTGGACTAATGAGAAATTTTGTTTGATTATAATTTGATATGAATAAGATTCGCGCGCGCGTATATTATTAAATGCTTACTTAAACCAAATCTCGGATTTTGTCATAACAATTAGAAAGAATTTCTGGTTATTATGACAAGAATCGAGATTTTACATCTAAAACCATAATTATTCTATAAGTATTATATTATTTATTACATTATAAGAGGATTTATTTAATATTTTTCAGTTTGGTTGGGATTATAATTCTTTTGAATTTGCATCATCAGAATCGTGATTAATTTTAATCTCAGCGCCATATAGCAAACCAATTATTGTGTCAGTTGACACAAATCGAGCGAATATGCTGTATTGTTTTATGTCGTCGTGTTGTTTCCTGTAGTAAATTGGAACAAAATGATATGTTCCATTGTTGATAAGAAAACCTCTTCTCTTTCCATCGTCAATATATAAAACCTCTTCTCTTTCCGTCGTCAATATAATTTTGAGAAAAATGTACAGAAATTTTGAAAATTATAGCAATAAGATTAATTTGAATTTCTCTATGTTACATACTGCTTTTTAAGTGTGTAAGCTCATAGATTATGAGTGCATAATGGGTATGATGCTTGATTTATCCTTGTTTACATTCGATGAAACAAGGAACATTATACATAAAACGAAATGCCCCAATAATTTACAGAGAGACATGTTCAATCAACGAGATATTCTGCGGGCATAGTTAACGAAAAATCTATTTAATTAACGAGTAGTTTTGGTATATTAACAAGGTACAATTATCAATGCAGTTCAAAATACAATAAAAAAATATTATTACATAGCAGCATAATTAAAAAATTAATAATGCGCGATTAAGTATATGGTAGCGTTGAAAATATACGTATAATAACCCAAATTTTATTGAACCAATAGTTACTTTGATATTAATAAATGGAATGTAATATTAACGATAAATAAAACTTATTTACTTTTAATTGTTAACTTTCGATTATAAAATTTATTAAAATTCATCCAATAAAATTTAATTATCTTTATCTTGTCGTACTCTGGTTAAGGGTACATTCTAGTAACCACTCTAGTAACATTCTAGTAACCACACGTCCAATGGAGTAAGTAAAAAAAA